AAAATAAAATAAATAATACTTAATATATTAAGTAAATAAATATAAAATAAATATAAATCTATTAAATCCATTACATAATTAGGAATCGATTATAAGAATGTAGTTCACGGCTCGAAAGTACGGCACCGGTAGCTCACGGGCGCGCTTTGTATAGCCGCCTAAGTTATAGTCTCATTAGTTAATCATTAGTTTTTACAATAAATCTAAGAATTTCTTGACTTTGATTTCGAGACCAAATAAGCGTTCATCCAATCAATACATTAAATCATAAATCAATGATAATCTCATGTCTTGTTCTGCTGTTTCAATATCTTTTCTTTTAGTCCTCCGGAAGTGATCTTCTTCTTAGACTTCTGTTGTTCTAATTGTTTACTTTCTGTCAATTCCTTCACTTTTTGCTTCTGTTTCTCAACACTGCAAACAACATACAAAAGAGTCAATCCATTAGTAAACCACAAGTTTTACATTAAAAACAAACAGTTTTCATACTTTTGTTTAATCGTGCGCTGAATCTCGCGTTTGAATATATCCTTGAAATCCCTGCTAAAGGGGATCCAATGGGCGAAGAACTCTTTAGGCCAATCGCACTCTTTACTGGACTTCGGTTTGTATATAAAGTACTTCATAGTCTCGGGGAACCTAACCATCAATACAACAAACAATTAAAAACGACAAAAATCAACAAAACTTCAAAAACCTACTTTAGCTGACATTCCTCCACATTCTCCTTCATCTCTCGGATCTGATTCTTCGACTTTTCTATAAATGTCTTCATTCGCGACTCAAACGGCTCGATGTGCTGCGGATTTTGAGCGCATTTCAACACTTTCTCCACTTTTCGTTCACATGAATGCATATTATTCTCCAAAGTATTGATGTCCGCAACGATATCATCGAAAACTATAGCCGACGCCCTCTCCAGATCCGACGGCTCCGGCAGTGGGAACCGGATCTCGTCCACAGACAACACCTCCGAGCAGTAGTTCTTGATATACATGCGCACCACATACTCCAGAAGACTCACGTTATTATGCTTTCCCTTCACGTCTCGTAGTTTCGGCAGAATCTCGAGTCCGAAGCCATCAGCCTGTCCTCTATCCC